GTTTTATACCAAGTGGTCTGTTTGGTCTGTGATTCTCGTCAAGTTACTACGGTGTGTTAAGACTTTGATGAACAAAGAACAAGTAGGAGAAGAGATCGAATATGCTGATAGCAGATATTCTGTCAATAGCGCGCTTGATGGATTGATTATGGAGGCAGGCTTCAGTCTAGACTCATATAAATGGAAGATCAAGTTGAGATCAAGAGAGAGATACTGATAAATCACTTTCATTTGTGAAGAAAAGATGGTTCGATGAAGAGATATCTGTAGATATACTGACTCTTTGGAACACACTATTCACAAACATCAATTTCCTACTCATCAATCACAGAATCAGTTTGGTCAGATACGTCATGATTAAGGCAACCAGAATGTGTGCCGATGATTTTTTTGAAAATGAATTTGTGTATACATGCACAGTGAGCTGATTCGAATTGGCTATCGTAGTGGATTTGTAGGGAAACACATGATCATGGTGAAGGATAAGGCGAAAACTAAAAAGTTACCCCTGAAGCCTCTAATTGACTGGTGATGTGCCTAGTGAAGTTCAACATGTGAGATTATCTAGAGACATGAGACTGACTTATTCTGCTTCGTTTATCACTTTCTGGATGGTCAGTTATCATGCTATTTCGCTGTAGGTGCCAGGTAGGTGACAGATATCAGGTGTGGAGGGTTTCTCATTTGAACGATATCCAGTGGTATGTTGATCTTCCATATATTCTTTGGAATCACATATTTCATAAACGATAATGACCAGAGTAACACTACATTCTACAATTTAATGAAGTCTCCCCCAACGATGTCTGCTACTTTTTACTTTAATCAAGGAAAACTCCAATGCAGAACTGAACAGTGACTACCGACATCATTAACTACACACCTTCCGGTAGAAATACTAACTCGTCCGATAATTTATGTCAGCTGATAGCCTCCCGTGGGTGTATACATTTATCTGGTCTTCATTACTAGATAGTGTTGTAACTTGAAGGGAACTGATATTGACTGACAAATCCAAACGGACAAAATGCTGTGCTACAGTCAACTACATTTCTAATAAGCTATTTCAGAATCCAGTGATCCCCTTAGGAATATAGTTCGGTAAATACGGAGTAGGGTAGCTCTCGAAAGCTATTCAGGTTATGGAACTCCTAAATGCCTCTCAATATGACTAAAAACCTTCCATAAACTTCAAATCTGATGAACCGAATCCATTTTAATGCTTGAAACTAGAGACTACCATGTTGGTGAATCTGTAGATAAATTCTAATTAACTCATGTTACTCTTTTGCATTTAAGTAGTATAAAGGATTTTCAAAAATGTTTGTTTTTCCTGAAGCAATAAGCCTCTTCATTTGAATCATGGTCAGCATTGAAACTCACTAAATAAACACGCTGTTCTTTTGTCTCTCCTAATTTCAGTCGGATAGTTTTCCCTATGCACATATATCTTCATGTTGTATTTTGACATATCATTAGCTCAGTCGGTAGAGAATTGAACCACTAATCTGGTGACAGCTCGTTCTAATCCTACCACGAGTCAGTATTTCATTTCGTCATTAATCAGCTCTCATTATATCAGTAACAGTGTATGCTTCCTTAAACTATGTCACATAATCTCACAATCAGTTTAAAAACTAAAAATCTCTTTTAAACTCGATTTGATTTTGATGTGATTGTGTTTTCTGATATAGATTGTTAGTTTGCGGAGCAGTTATTACCCTACTAGACAACAAACATCTTCAGCGCATACTTCAATTCGAATTCAGGTGAGCTTTTGAATTTCTCCACGATTTTATTAATCACTTCTCCCGGTGGAAACCTTGGACGGGATTGGTGGTTTTTGTGTTTTCACACCTTCTAGGCTACCTGTATTGAGACTGGTTGTTTCTTTGACTTGAACTTTGACCCTTTGTGGAGTTTGTGGGTGTGAGGTGTGAGATTTCCTTCTTATCAGGTGGTAAATTTTGTCTATGTCAATGTGTTTATTGAGTGACGATTCAGTGGAATACCAGACAGCATTCTAAAAATTCTCTAGCATTCTTGGTGTTTCTTATGTCTAATATTTGAACGCTGGTTGTCTCAGTCGAATTGATGTCCAACGTCGTCTGTATGTATACCTAGTAGAGCAATGAAAACTAAGCAAACTTGTAGTACCGCTATACCAACTGTAAACATGCTTTTTAATCTAATTTGTATACTTGTATTATATGTGTATACAGACCGATTTTATATGTACTTCGCAAATATTTGTCAATTCACTGTTGAACATTACCTTGACACAATTTCGAATTTGACTACTGCTACAATACACATTCGTAATCTTCGCAAGTGCCTTTTGATTTACGTTGTGGGCGTCGAGTAGCCACAACGTCTGCGCACATTAATAAGAACGAAGAGACACTAGGATATATGTGTACGGCAGTTTAGTCAAATAACGCACGCAACAAAATTGGTGAGCCCGACGTGATTTTGGTGAGCCTCACGGAATAAATTGGTGAGCCCGACGACAAATTTCTACAGCGACGACAAATTGGTGTCCTTGACGATAACTGGTTCACCCCGACTACAAATTGTTGACCCCAACGACAAATTTCGACCACGACGACAACTTGTTCCCCACGACTCATCATTGCACTTGCTGGATTATTTAAACTCTAACTTTATTGGATCTATATATAATAGACATTTCGAACTCATTCTTGTGCTTTCTCATCACACAACTTGCAGTAATCTGTGGTAAGCATCTGCATTGCATGTTTTTCTGTTTTGCCATATTCTTGGTGTGCATAATTTTTGCTATTTTGTTACTCTCAAACCATTTTTCTACGAATTGTAACATGTCTTCCAATACCTCTAATAACTTAAAGCTGGGATCTGTTAGTACTATTTCTCTTACTGTACCAGTTTTTAAGCCCGGAGACCCCCATCTTTGGTTTGCACGACTGGAACATTATTTCACTGCCAATAGGCTGACATCACAGACGGCTAAATTCAGCATTTTGAGTACAGTACTACCAGACGAAATCGCCGAACAGGTTCGACAATACATAGTTCAACCCAGCACAGACCCTCCTTACGACAAGTTGAAGGAAAAGGTACTTCGATGCACTTCGCTTTCTGATAGGCAAACACTCGATCGTTTGTTAAGCAATGTAGAGCTAGGTGATAAAACCCCATCACAACTCATGAGGTACATGCAAAGCCTAGTAGCAGGAAGAGATATCGACAAACGTCTCTTTTACCAAATCTGGCTGCGACGACTGCCTGCAAACATTCAGCAAGTTCTTGCTTTCGGAGACGACGACATTGACATAGAAAAGCTCGCCAAAATTGCGGATCGCATGTACGAGAGGTCAACACCTCAATCTATTGCTTCCACTAGCAGAATACCAGACACCCACGATAGGATACAGACTCTAGAACACAAAGTCGACACTTTACTGAGTCAGTTAGCAGCACTGACCACACGCACACGACCAGGCCGTTCTAGAAGCTCGTCTCGTCGACGTCTTTCTCTGTCACCCAGCACGTCACGACATCACGATACTATTTGCTGGTACCACCGTAGTTACGGAAGCAATGCACGACGGTGTCGTTCACCTTGCAACTTTCAGGCTAAACCAAAAGATATATCGTCATGTATGAAAACTTCTACTGTCGGCAATCTACGATCTAGCAGTCGTTTGTTTTATGTAACAGATAGAAATACCGGTACTACGTTCTTAGTCGACACAGGAGCAGAGGTTAGTGTTCTCCCTCCGTCTACGCAGGAACGTCAACATCCTGACCCTGCAGTTACGCTCCAAGCCGTTAATAAGTCTAATATTGTTACATATGGTAGTAAACGAATGACTTTAGATTTTGGTCTGCAGAATACCTACACTTGGTCTTTCATCATCGCAGACGTTCCATCCCCAATCCTTGGTATAGATTTTCTACAGCAACACAAACTGCTAGTTGATCCGGTAAGCCCTAAGCTTATAGACTCGCTCAATAAAAAGTACATCGCTGGTACGATTAGCCGTGCATCATCGCTGAACTTGATGGTCACACGCACACCAGCACCTCCATATACCGACTCGGCAGATCAGTTTCCTGACATTCTACAACCATCTTTCCGATCAACAGACCATAAAGCTCCAACGAAAGCTTTATCAGCAAAGCAGGTTAATTACTCCCCGCGCGAAATACGACATCTCGAGTTTATATCCCAAGTCAACTCCGATCTGCGACAAGTCAAGGGTAAAAACAATGAAGTGGCAGACGCTTTGCCACGTATGCACATTGATAACATTGTATGCCCAGACATCGACTACGAACATCTCTCAAACTTACAACGAGATGACGCCGAACTCAAAAAGATCATGTCTTCTAAAACAACATCTCTAAACCTCGAGGCAATTCCTTTTGGCACGACAAAAGTTATCTGCGACACCTCTACACATAAATATCGACCTTTCGTTCCAATAGCTATGAGACATACAGTATTCGAGAAGTTACATAACTTGTCGCATCCTGGTGTTAGCGCTACTACCAAGCTACTAAGAAAAAGATTTATCTGGCCGAACATTAACAGCGACGTTAAGAAGTGGACACGAAATTGCTTGTCTTGTCAAAGAGTCAAAATCAACCGGCACACCAAAGCACCACTTGGTCGCTTCCCTAACCCCGACTCTAGATTTGACCATGTACATGTAGACATAGTTGGTCCACTGCCTCCTTCCAATGGTTTCAACTATATTCTAACCTGCATTGACAGATTTACTCGTTGGCCAATAGCAGTTCCATTAATCGACGTCTCAGCTGAAACGGTAGCTAAAGCTTTAGTCGAAAACTGGATAGCCAACTTTGGTGTCCCATCAATTATCACTACAGACAGAGGTGCCCAGTTTGAAAGCCGACTTTTTGACCAGCTAACTGAATTACTAGGCATTAAACGAATACGAACAACAGCGTATCATCCTAGTTCCAACGGTATGGTCGAACGATTTCATCGACAACTCAAAGCTGCACTCGCTGCTTCTTTGACTCAAAACGATTGGTCAACCAAACTTCCACTAGTATTACTTGGTATACGAGCTACTATAAAGAAAGATATTGGCTGCTGTGTTTCCGAACTAGTCTATGGAACAACATTACGATTACCAGGAGAATTTTTCACCCCGGGTAACCAAGTTCCACACGATATGACTGGTTACGTGCACCAGCTAAAACGACACATGAACGAGCTAAAGATATCACTTCCACGTCAGCAGGAACGAGCGTCATACATCCCGTCACAACTGACAGACTGCACCCACGTCTTCGTCAGGAGAGAAGGTGTACAACGACCACTTCAACCCGCTTATGATGGCCCATTCAAAGTTCTAAACAGAAACGCGAAAGTTATCACGATAGAAAGATTGAATAAAACAGAAGCCATCAGTATCGACAGAGTCAAACCAGCGTTCCTCGACGATTTCGAAGTCAACGATAAGAACCAGCTGAACGACGTGCCAACACCTACATCCACACAAGCTTCAACGTCGACAGAGAAGCCTGCGAAAACAACACGATCTGGTAGACGAGTCCATTGGCCTAAACGTTACGTGCAAGTCATCGAAATATAACTTACTATGAATTTTCATTTTTATTTTTTATTTATTATTAATTGTCATTTGATTACTCATTTAACTGATTAATATTTTCATACATAAATCACGTCACTATTATTTTAACATCGATATTTCCTATATTATTACATTTAATCACATCTCGTATATTATTCACGTATCGTTTTCGTCTACCGACTACAGATCCCCGGACAATTTTATCGTTCCTTATATATTCTATTACGATTAGGAATTCCACTTTCCCTAGATTATCGCATTTATTATCGACGTTATTAACCGCATTAAACTGCTCATTTTTCAGCTTAATAAATCGCCTTCTGTGTACTATCGCTGCTACGTATTACGCTGACGCATGTTATTTTCGAACACTTAAATGTATTTTTTTATATTTCAGTGTTCTGGTGGGGGAATTATGTAGTACCCCTATACCAACTGTAAACATGCTTTTTAATCTAATTTGTATACTTGTATTATATGTGTATACAGACCGATTTTATACGTACTTCGCAAATATTTGTCAATTCACTGTTGAACATTACCTTGACACAATTTCGAATTTGACTACTGCTACAATACACATTCGTAATCTTCGCAAGTGCCTTTTGATTTACGTTGTGGGCGTCGAGTAGCCACAACGTCTGCGCACATTAATAAGAACGAAGAGACACTAGGATATATGTGTACGGCAGTTTAGTCAAATAACGCACGCAACAAACTCACTATCCAGCTCACAGATCATAACCACATCAAAATAATCCACCTGAGCTACATATCTTCTGCATCATATCTAAATCGGTGTGATTAGGACTATCAAGCGGGGACGCATCATTCATTCCCTTGACTGAACACTAGGTGGTGAGCAACTGGTACTTTGTTTGGTGCAGACTGAATTCTATCAGTCACATTTTCAAAAATGTTCACCAACAGGCTAGACAGCCTGTCATCTCGGTGCACCTGAACTATTGTTATAAAATGTCTGGAGGCGATATTATTACAAGTCAATAAAACGATATCGTTCTTCGATATTACTATTCATTTTGCCTCACGCTCATTTGAACGTTTCAATTTTTATACTTCTTCTTCCAACACTGTATATCATTGTTCTATAAATTGCATGTCATTTAATGAATTAATCCTCATTATTTGTGTCTGTCCACTGTATGACATCACGCGTCAGGCCATTGCTCGAGTGGAACCAGGCCGAAAGGGAAGCGGCGAGTAGGAAGTCAGTGCAAGGGTAACATGGAGGAGATCGTGTGAAGAGAAGCTGAAAGAGTATGGACTAACAAGGATGCAGGTGAAAAGTACAGCAGAAGACAGAAGCAAATGAAGACGTGCAGTTGAAGCCCTATGTTCCATTAGGAACCCAACGGAACAAATAAAATAATAAATAAATAATAATTTGTGTCTGTACCTGCATCTTTAATCTCTAATTTCAATGGTTCACCAAGTTGTTGTGCAATACATTGATGTGTTGTTTTATGATGTGATTTTGTCCCAGTAGACGTAAGTGATTCCGATATCGGACTGTCTGTGACGTGGAGCTTTGGTGTGTGGTTCTTGAGGTGGCCAGAATTTAGATCCTGTATTTTTGGGAATATTTTACCTAACTCTAAGTACGTGTTTCGTACTTCGACTCGATTGTATGGTTGCCTGCATATTTATAGAACGACGATCGTCTATTTGCTGTTTTTGAAACTTTTTATGATTTTGACTGTCTGAAGAATGTTTTCCCAACTGTACCGTTGAACACAGAGGTCTGTTTCATGCGTCCATACTACACGTAGTTGATTTTCGTCATAACAAGGCTTATCCGCAACCTTTAGGCTACTCATATTTCCTCTGAGATTCGAACCCGTTCCATCCGCTGCCACAGTCTGTGATGTCACTACTGAGCTACACACTCTCTCGACTAACTTCCTGCAAAACTTTACTCGATACTCTGGTGGCACCTCTGACTACGACACTGTGTGACACGGGTTCGAATCTCAGAAGGAAGCGGATTCGCCTTGCTCACTCACTGGTGAGTGATAACAAACACGAAACCTAGGTCAAGACTGACTTTGTACCTACCACCTCCAGCCATTATTACGTTAGACAGATGAGAATTATATGAGCCAACTGTTGTGGAGTAATGACGTGGTCTTACAGTTGGGCCTCGCAGTTCACCTAGGAGACAGCCCATTTAATAGTCCAGGGATCACACGACACAGATTTCCACTAAATCTCCAGTCATCACCCGTTAAATCTTCATCCCATTTGTATACATACTCTATCCATTGTAATCCTGCTTATATATTCTTTTATTAATAATAATGACAAATTTATCCTAGACAATATTTTAACACATAGTACAGAGCTTTTAGCATATCTAAATGGCAAAATATCTCTGCCTCGTACAGGATCTTCAAGTAAAATGGAATTCTACTGTACACTATGGGAAGCCGATATATTCCATATGAAGCAATATCCAAATCTCCACCAAAGGTTTTCCTCATTTCTGTCGACAAGTGATCTGCATTCCAGTGAACCCAAACTGTGTGGCAGTACATGTAGTACTGATGTAAAAACACAATTAGATGATTCAAAACATTGGAAGAAATGTTGAGGAGTTTATGCGTTATAGTGCGGATGGAATGTTAGGTGGCCGTGTGATTCACACAGGCTGTCATAATTCCAAATTAACTGGGAAGTGACAAATTTGACTAATGCTGGGAGGGGCAATTTGAAATTACCCATACAACAGTGCTGACTTCTATATTTCTAATAAGTTTTCTTCCCATGAGGAATTAGTTGCTCAAGTATGAGAGTGGTTTTTCCGACAGGTATATGCTGTCACAGATATATGGAAGCGTGTTTATCACACAGGTTTTCTCAATTAGAATTGAGCTTTCTTCTGACTGAACAGTATCAGGAGAATAGAACCCATGGTAACCACTATACTTTAAGAGATTGTCAATATGGAAGGATATCAATTAGGAGAGATACACTAGGGTCTATAACATATGGAATGCATTCAATTTATTCCTTAGAATTGTGCTGAATATTCCGTTGATTCATGTTGCTGACTTGACATCCTGTGTCTCTGTTGACATGTGAACTCCTGATGTGAACACATCGATGACGCCATGAGGCTGTTACAATTATTATCGCTCACTTGGGTTCCGAATGGAACATAGGGCTTCAACATCACGTCTCCATAATGTTCTCTTCTCTGCAGTCGTCTTCATCGGACTCCATGGTTGTTCGTGAACTGTCATTTCCACGTCACATGATCCCCTCCTCCTCCTCCGTATCACGCTGAAACACACATTCATTTCGTCGACTTCCAATCACACTGCACTCGAGTGATGGTCTGACAAGTGAAGTAACTAAAGGATCTCCTCAGTACGTGTCTAATCTATTTTCATTCTCCACTTCACCTTTTAATGATCGACTGGTTTTTGATCTGTTGTTTTACAGTATTTCTTGTTATCAATACTTTCTAGACTGCCAGATGCAACTGTTGATGAAAGCCTACATCAGTCTGTTGGAAATGCTTTTCGTGAAGTGCTAATCTAGTTTTTGACTCAAAAGAAGAATTGACTGATTGATCTAACACTAGTACTGCAAATCAGAATTTCGCTCTTCATTTTGAGTGAAGCTGATTTCCAAAATGATTCCAAAACGATGAATGCTTACCTTGCCTTTCCAGTTCTGTTGTTGACTTCTTCATCCTAGGCGTAGCCTGTAGTTGGAAGGGCACTTCATAGATAAATGAAGGAGGTGACCTCATCCTAATTTCTTCTGTTGATAGTGATTATCACTCGTTGTTGTTAGTTGTTTGTTTTTTTCATTATTCCCCTTTCTTGTTATTCAGGGAAATCCTGTTTATGCTGCTTGACTATTCTGAATACTTGTTGATTTTCACCTGCATGTAAAAGAATTCCTGTGACATTACTCAAAAGTCGATAAACAAGTTCACACCTACACGAGTATTTTTAGCGGTCTAACCCATTTCTGTAATCTTGCTGCACGCACTATGCACCCCATCATCTAGTTCGTGACAATTAGGAATATCGTCCGTCGTGAAAGTAGGCTGACAGACTCTTATCTTTATTTCGATGGTTGCACCGAGATTTCCCTTGTTGATTACTTGAAAGGTGGTCTTCTCAAACAGAATTTGAATGGGACTGATATAGACTTGCGGTACTCTCCTCCATCGTGTGAAGCGTTTTCCAAATTGCTGCATGGGGAAAGCCGTCTAAGGAGGTTTCAAGACGCCTACAGCTGAGGTACAGATTTGATTATTTGGAGGTTAACATGTTGTTATTTCTTTGCAAATAGCCAACAACAAAATAAACTACACAAGTGTGGTACAAATTCTAGTCATGTCAAGGAGGTGAATAAATCTCGGCATATCGAAACAAATCGTGTAGGATTCGCGTCGAACAGGAAAACGATCAATTACTGGGGACTGAGTTGCATCCAGATAATGAGTCCAAGCTGGAAAGAAAGCATGCGAAGCTGTGTATACTTAAATATTAAAAAAATCATTTAGGAGATTTAAGTCAGACAGTTTACGTTACCTGCTTGCATGGATGAACGTTTAGATTCGACTCATCTTAACGTGAAAATGAAATTCGTCATTGAGCCAAAATGTGACGCCTTCTCACTAGAAATATCGCAGTGAAGACGTATGACTTCATGAATAATGTCTTTCACACTAACTGCTGTTGACAATCGGCAGCCAGGCAAGCGAGTACGTCGTTCTATTGAATCAACATTCCTAAGATTCTAATCACTAAATACTGATGACGTCTGCAGAATTATTCATTTGATGACAGAATATAAGAAAAAATGGAAGTATTACTAAAGGTACGATCAATAATATGTCGAAATACAGTGGGAAAATAACACCACAGTTACAAAATCACTACTAAATTTTGACAGAGTTTCTGAAGACCAAAATAGACTAGCTGTTGTATAAACGTAGGAGAACAATCTCCGAGTCCGACT